TAGATCCATTTAAATTCGTCAATTTTATGATGTTTTTAATTAGTCATATCCTGACTAACTTTGCTTGACTTTTGTAATTTTACAGGAACTAATGCTTCGATAATGAAAACAATATTAATGAACATATATGTGTGACAAATCAGTTTAGCTATGTAATTTCGTATATCATGATTATATTATATATAAAATTTTATCATCATATATGACCATGTATATGTATGAAATATTATATATATAATCAGGCAATCATATAAATTATATATGTATATAATAATATATATTTATAATATGTACGACCATACATAAAATTTTTTTACTCGAATATCTTAAAAACGTGAGCAGCGTTTCAGGATACTTTGGGCTATATAAAATCGCGCACATCGCCAGAAATTCAGGCAAAAGCAGCTAAAAATGTCGCGGAAAGATTATTAGGTAAAGAAATATCTAAGTTGTTTATTATGATACTGGATATCGATTTGGGGCCTATTGGCAAAGATACTTTTAAGGTACAATATTTACTCTCGAATATAGCAACTACACATTTGTTCGTGAGTACTTATTTTCAAAAGAGTAATATGATAAATATCGAATAATTTTTTACAGATAACAAAAAATCCTCTGAACGAAATCGAAATTCGCGGCACTTCCGGAGTGGCAATCACATGGGGTTTACATTATTACTTAAAGAATTATTGCAATGTTCATATATCATGGGATGGTATACAAATTGAGTTACCAAACACCCTGCCGGAAGTCCGAGTTAAAATTATATCGAACGATAGGTGAGAGTGCGCGCGACATGTGATTGTGATAATCCAATATATTATTTGATGACATATATTTATGTTGTTCCCTAACTTTACAGATTCAGATATTATCAGAACGTGTGCACAGTGGGTTACAGTTCAGCCTGGTGGCAGTGGCACCAATGGGAAAAAAACATTGATTGGATGGCTCTTAATGGGATTAATCTTGCCCTTGCTTTTAGCGCGCAAGAAGCGATCTGGCAAAGATTATATCAAGAATTGAATCTGACAAAAGAGGAAATCGACGAACACTTGGGTGGACCTGCTTTCTTACCTTGGTCGAGCGTTTATATTCCTCAAATTTCTTTGTGTAGGATACAATAGAATATATTTATTGCAATAATGTAGGGCAAGGATGGGCAATATTCGTGGCTTTGGTGGACCATTATCATCAAATTGGCATAATTACACCATACGTCTACAACACCAGATTCTTCGGAGAATGAGAGAGCTGGGAATCGTCCCGGTACTACCGGCATTCGCCGGCCATGTGCCGCGAGCTTTTGCCAGACTTTTTCCAAATGCTAATATGACGAAGATCAATCCGTGGAATAAATTCGAAGACAAATATTGCTGGTACAACCAAAATAATCTATTTATATTTCACATATTTGTCTCTCTTCCGATTATTGTTTGAAATAATTCTTCATAGAGTAAAATATTTACAACAGTAACTGACAAGAGTATTAAGAAAATAGATACAGAATATTCTATCCTTTTTGCATCTATCATTTATCAAATAAAAATACATTTCAGAAATTGATTAATTTTAATTTAATAAAATTAATTCAAATAATAATATATATAAAGTTCCAATTTGTGTAATATAATTATTATTTCCAGCCCTTATTTGTTAGAACCGACGGATCCATTATTTCGTGCTATTGGAGAAAAATTCCTTCGAATGGTGAGTTAAAATAATTTCAATAAAAATAAATAATCATGATTATTTCATTGTTGCAGTACATCGATGAGTTTGGTACCGATCATATTTATAATTGCGATACTTTTAACGAAAATGAACCCGGTAATAGTGAGCTTACCTATTTGAGAAACGTCGGGCATTCGATTTTCTCAGCCATGAACGCAGTCGATTCAAAAGCAATATGGTAAGTCGGTAAATTTAGAAGGGCAGACAATTCATTTTACTCTACAATTTAACACTTAAATCTCCGGATTCGACAGAAATATTAATTTTATACACACACATGAACATATATACAGGGTGGCCCCAAACATTTCAGCCAGACTGCAAGATTTTAGGCAATTTAATTCTGAACAAAAAGTTTCCCATAAACATAGGTCCAAAAATGTTTCCATAAAAAATTATCGCCCAAAAACCTTTGAAATTACGATTATTTTATACATTTTTTAAAATATCAGCAATTTTAAGATATCTTTCAGTGTTCTTTGTAAAATATTTTGAAGATGTTTCTTCAAGAACTCTTAAAAATATCTTAAAGTTGTCTTATACGTCGATTTTAGACATTTTGCTTATTGGGTAATTAAAAAAAATATTGCAAAAATTACAAATGTTAGAGGACTTTCCGATTCAGTTTTTTATCAGGAATAGTACTATATGATTAGTGAGCATCATTTAAAATACACCCTATATATCATGTTTTTACATTAGATACATAATGTGACTTTTCTAGGTTAATGCAAGCTTGGCTGTTCGTGCACGACATCATGTTTTGGACAAAGTCCAGAGTGAGAGCTTTCTTGACCTCAGTACCCACAGTAAGTACGCAATATTAAATATCAGTTGTACCTCAATTGCCAAATATACAACTGATGCATAAATGAACCATTCCTATAACAATAATTACATTATTAGGTAATTTTAATATATATAATTATGTAATTTATTATCATTAAATTATAAATGTATCTATTATTATTCTTATTGAATTATAAATGTATTTAATTATCTAATGTATTTCGTCTAGTACGGCAAATCTACTGTATAAGACAGAGAACAGAAAACTATCGAGAATCATTTCAATAAAATATCTAATCTAATGGATAAATATTTCTCTTTCCGATTAAAAAAATAACTTTTGTATATTACACATTTTTGTATGCGTCATTTTTCATAAAAGTGACTTTAAACTGCTGTACTAAATGCAGGGACGAATGTTGGTATTAGATCTACAGTCGGAACAATTCCCACAATATGGTCGATTGAGATCCTATTACGGTCAACCATTTATTTGGTGCATGCTGCATAACTTCGGCGGCACCTTGGGAATGTTTGGTTCCGCGCAAATTATTAATCAGGTATATGAGAATTCTATATTTTTTTACATCACTCTTTCTCTCAGTTTTTATTAAAAGACTAAGAATGTGTATTTCGCTATATCATTAATATGCCAAAATATAAAAGAAAATTTTAATACTTGTAATCAATTCTTTTTCTTTCTCTTTCAAGTATATTCTAATTTTTATTTTACATTTACATAATACTAAAAAATAATTCTTTTTTTTTTTTTTTACAAAACGGCACAATATCGTCAAAAATATATAGTTAAATTAAATATGAAATAAACGTGTAAATTTTTTAGTTTTTGATTCTTTATATGTAATTTATTATTTTATATCTTTATTTAATTTTCATGAATCTTTTAATAATCATGAGAACTTTGAAGCATTAAAAAGCGTCCTATCTTACAATTTGTCATTACAATAATGAACTAAGTAAATTTAGGTTGCAAAATAATAAATTGACTTTTTTTCTCAGCGCACATTCGAGGGTAGAAACATGAATGACAGTACTATGGTGGGAACCGGTCTGACACCCGAAGGTATCAACCAAAACTATGTAATTTACGAATTAATGAACGAAATGGCGTATCGTCACATGCCTGTTGACCTTGATAATTGGTGAGAATGTACATCTTGTATAATTCCGATACACTGTATGCAACGACTGGTTTTTCGTTAAAGAAGTGTCGTCTTAACGTCTTACCGCGTCTCGATAATCTATCGACAGAGCTTCTACATAATTCGCGATGCGAGATTGCGCCTTGCGAGAAAGCTCCTTGAGTTCGATTAAATTGATATGGTAAAAGGATTATTGATTATTGACAGGTTCGAAAGTTATGCTACCCGAAGATACGGTGCATGGAACGAATATGCAGTAGCTGCTTGGCAACACCTTGGCAGAACAGTTTATAATTTTATTGGCACGCAAAAAATTAGAGGACATTACGTTATTACCAGACGACCAAGTTTAAATATTTCACCATGGGTAGACTCGTTAATAATTACAACCGGTTTATGATTGGTAGAAATTTATAATTGCATTTTGCCTAATAATATTTGCAGAGGACATAAATGTGAAAATTTAATATTCACTTTAACGAGAGAGATATAATTAAAAAGAAAATGGAAATTGGCAAAAATTAGAGAACGTTAAGAACAAAATTACTTGAACTAATTACATTATTTAAATTATTTATTAATATTTTAAATTATAATGTAAAATGATTTTTTTTATTTAGATTTGTTTTGATCGAAAAGATTTCTATGCTACGTGGAACATGTTTCTAAAAGCGAGATATGGTAGAGGAAATAATACTCTCTACAGGCACGACGTAGTTGATATAACCAGACAAGCTCTCCAATTAATAGCTGACGATATTTACATGACTATATTAGATTGCTATAAGAAAAAGAATATCACTGCCTTTCAGTAAGTATATTGATATAATATCAACATATCTCATAAATATATTACGCATATGATATTATATATTTTATTAACATTATTAAATAGGTTTGCCCGCCTAATATTAAATAATGCAATTTTTTAAAATTGAAATAATTAATATTGCAAAATAAAAGTAAGAACCTTTTTCAAAGTTAAGAATTTCACATAATATTGTAGCTCATAATCACATTGTTACATAATAAAAATTCGCAATATATATTTAAAACGTTTTACAATTTTATATCCATTAAATTCTACAGATCATCCGCAAACGCTTTGTTAGATCTTTTCGACGATCTTGAATCTATTTTGGCATCAGGAAATAATTTTTTGCTCGGCACCTGGTTAGCCCAGGCGAAAGATATCGCCGTCAATGAGGAGGAAAGGCGATCTTATGAATATAATGCAAGAAATCAAATTACCCTATGGGGTCCAAATGGTGAGATCAGAGACTACGCGAACAAACAATGGTCAGGAGTGGTGGCAGATTACTTTAAGCTTAGATGGGAGCTTTTCCTAAAAGCTCTTGAGAAATCGTTGGTCCAAAGAACTGAGCCCAACATCACCGAGATTAATAGCAGAATATTTCATGAAGTCGAACGATCTTTCACTTTTTCCACGAAGCTTTATCCAATAGAAACAAAAGGTATTTACTTATTTATAACAATTTTTCGTGAACACTACATCAATAACTTATTTAATTAGAAATCTTTTTTCATCTGTATCTCTGCATCCGAATTACTTGCTCCGTTTAGAAACTTTTTTTAAGATCGACATAATCGAAATCATTTATATCATGTTTCATTCGTTTTATAAGATTATTGAAGTACAATCTTTATTTAAGTACAGTAAAATATCTAAAATAATATAAGTAAAATCCCAAAATGATGTCAAAAGACAATATAACGTTTATTAGATGTTACTACGTTGTTATTCTGCTTAGAATGTTAATAAATAACCAACATTTAGAAAAAATTTAGAAAAGATTATATGCATAAATTTCAACAAACAAATTTTTTAATTTATTTTTTATTTTCAATAAGTCTAATAAAATTTATTTACTCTTTTTTAGGCGATACTATCGACATAGCAATGAAAATAATTTCCAAGTGGTACAAAGGAAAATTATCATAATCGTTATTATAATATTATCATCAAACACGTACTGAAAAAAGATTATGTTCTAATATCTTTTTTTATTTAGATAAAATAAGAATATATATTTTAAAAGCGATATTAATAAAACGATTTTTAGTAAGGCACATTAAATACGCATTTCCTAAGCACATTTATATTTATTGAAAAATTTAGAAAATTTAGTATCTTTCTATAATCCATAGGATATAATTACTTTTCTTTCTACAAAGAAAATTAATTTCTTCTATTGCAATATTCGTATTTTTATTTCTAATATTCTAAGATTGTTGCAAGTTTCTCAAAGAATTAAAACGTATAACGCAACGGTAACAGACGTCTCAGGTCCATACTGAGCGCGCTAGCAGGATTATCGAGATCACGCAGTGCTTGCGACGTTCTCAACTTCGCATCATCTCTAGTGAGTTCGTTCTTCTCTACCACCTTCTTTAGCAGCTGTTTCAGCTGCGGTCCGATGCCACCCTCAGCGGATGAATACAAAATCTTTAAGATTTCGTCTGTGTAGCCAGCAAAACGCGCGAATCCTTGCTTCCGCGCGTCTTTGCTGAGGGCGTCATAAAGATTCGCCATTTGTTGAAGAGACGGCCTAGGTGGTACTTTGGAACGCCTTAAATAATGATTCAAGCTTGGACGCGGCACTTGAGCCACTCTTTCGCCGAGTAAACAAAATCTGCAGTGAAACAAAACAAAAATAAAGAAAAGTTTATTTTTTATTAAATGCGCTTGACAGTTAATATCAAATATATGTATTATATAAAAGCTTCTGCGAAATTCTATCGTCAAATTTTCTCCATTTTAGCCAACACGATTATTTTTAGTATGTTATAACATTATAATTTTGTAATGAAAATGTTATCACCTTGTTTCCTCTTCTTCTTCTTCAATTTTTTCTGACTTTTCGATCGATGTTTCCACACTTTTTGACTCATCGCTGTCATCCGATTCGTCGCTGAATAGGGATGTAGTTGTCTTCACGATTCTGTGAATTTCGTCCACGACGCTATCAACGGTAGGTTTTTTCGTTTTCTGAAAATCCGACACTTGCGTAATAGAAGCCTGTTGTTGCGTTTGGATCTGAGTTGATACTTTGCCAAAAGAATGTTCAGTGATTGAAAGATTTGAAGATTTTTCGTTCTCAGTGACTTCCTGATTCGATTCCGGAATCTCCTGTACGGACTCCGGTGATTCGTGATTCGTTTCCGGCGTTGCTGGTAATTCGTAATTCGTTTCAGTAGTCTCTTGATTCACTTCTGGTGTCTCTTTATGATCAGATACGACGCTCGCAGTCGAAGTTGCTAAACGTTGAGCGACTTCTGTCGAATTATCATAAGTCTTGGATGAACTTTGGCTCGATATCTCATTCGTCAGAGTCGAAGTAGATATTATGGGAGTGGATATTATGGATATTTCTGTCCTCTCTTCATGCACTTTTGCGGTCGTAGCTGTTGAAATTATAGAAATTCCCTCGGGTGTCGTCGATTGCGGTTGCTGTTTCTTCATCGATTGGGTCGTCGATATCGACGAGGAAGTCACTAACTCTAACTGCAATATTTTTTCCGCTTGAAGCAGCTTCAGTTGCTCAACTGCGTGAAAAATTACCTGATTCAAAAATAAATCATATAAATGAACAGGCTTTACGGATATTATATTTTTTTTAAAACTTAATATATAATGTTTATAAATAGCGAATAAGTATGTATACATAAGTATATAGGACGGAATAATCTGTATTATAAGTAGTGTACAATGCACTGAGAAAAAAATGTATTAAATTTTAATAAATATTTATTTGAATAGTGCCAATTGAATGTTTACTAAATGTAAACATAAGTACATTTATTTGGTACAAAAATTATTAATTTGATTTAATATTTCTTATTATAGCACTGATATAAATGTTATTGGGTGGGCAAGAAAGTAATTGCGTTTTTTTAGCTCAATGTTGTATATACAATATCTTCGTCAATAATAAATGAAATTTAAATTTACGAAAAGAGTTTTAAAGCTTGAAATCTTTACTTTTAAAAACTTACCACATTTTTAAGTTTATATGAGTTTGGTAATTTTTACATATCAAAAATTGCGAGCTGAAAAAGATGGAAAATCTTTCAAACACTTTGTGTGTTTGTAATGTGCTCAAAACAAATTTGAGAAAATTTTCGACTACCTATCGTGAAGCTTAATACTTTCCCCACAAAATCGTTTTTTTTTTAAAATATTCCTAAGATTTTTGGTTACTGAGTTATCGCGGATTAAATAAAAGGATCATTTTGACTTTAATTGCTCATAACTCCGTTAAAAATTGTCGTATCGCAATTTAAAAAAGAGATTCTTAAAGAGATTTCTGAAACTTTACTCTATCAAGATATATTTATATTGGTTGGTAAGAAAGTAATTGCGGTTTTTACTGATAAATGCTTTTTAAAAAAACGCAATTATTTTCTTGCCAACCCAATATATCAGTACTATTTAAACAATTATTCATTATAATTTAACATATTTTCTTTCAGTGTACTTTTATTTTAATAAATATTTTATTTTATTATGCTATATTAGAAATAAAAATTTATTAGACTTACCAGAGTTATTCGAATTTTTAAACCGCACAGATAAAAATTGTGAAATAATGTCACTATTAAGGATTATTAAATGAAACGCAAATTGGATGATATTAACATGATATTAACATATAAAGAAACATATAAAGTATTTCCGGATTATTACGGGCGAGATGAGAAGCATCGCAATTATACGCAAGAGAACTTAATGTTCAGAATCTCTCATCAAATTTAGTAATCAAATAAAATGACTCACCTGCATAGCAGCGGGGAGATACGAATTCGAATACACTGATGTTGAAAAAGCCGGCGGCTTCCTAACGATTCCGGCGATAGCCTGGAGCAATGAAGAATTTTAATTAACATTTCCGCTAAAGTATGTAATGAATACACGTAGTTCTCCGAGCTGTTAGTCACGATTATGATATAAACGCGTGTTTATATGGAAATATTTTCATTAAACGCAAATTAGGCGAGAACATTGTTACTATGACGTTAAATGTTAATGTTTAAAACACGGAATCGTTTGCGCAAAATTAAAATTATAATTTTAATCAGGAATATGAATTTACATTCTTCATGTAACATTTTAATTTTTATTTAAATTATACAATAATTTTCAATTATAATAATTTTCATGTTTTCGATTTTTTAAGTTACGGAAATAGCAATTTTTTTATAATTTGATATGCGTTAATGACACTAAATAGCGTAACATATCTCATTGCAATATTAAATATTGAAGATATACAACGATAATAAATATCACTTACCTGCCGGAGAATCATTATCATCATTAAACTGCATAAAACCTTCATGACAAAATATTTCTTTTACCAGTGCAAAATAAATTCCACTTCTTTATATGCACTTTATAAGCCACAGTTCACAAATCTGCTATACTTTCTAGTATATAAGCTTATCACAATTTAATAACAAGAATCACTCGAAAAAGATTCAAAAATCTAAAACTGTTGAGATGTAAGATGTATTACATTGGCCTTGATAAAATTTCAAGTAAAACAAGGAATTAATAATTACGAACAATTCTAAGATGAAAAAATTCTTTTCCAAAAAAAAAGCAAACACTTTTCTGAAGTATTTTTATATCATTCTGTAAAAAAATACATTTCACGATAGTCGAGAAATTAATGATTTTCACGAACTACATCGAGATTCGCAGGCGGCTGTTCGGACAAGACTGGTCTCGAAAAGACTCATAACGGTCCCATGTCGTCCTCGGCGTCGCACACCTTCACACTCTTATGTGATCGCATATGTAAACGAGCGGGTCCCTGTACAGGATTGTTAATTGCGTGACAAGGCGCACATGCGGCCGCGAGCCGGTGCTTATTGGTGCCGATGGGTAAATCACAGTATGATACCTAAACTAAGCCGTCATCCGTATGCCGTCCACGTTTCGAGAAGCCGATTTTCCGCTATGCACTCGTCCTCGATCTCTCTCTAATCGGACTATATACGGATTATATAAGAAACTATATGTAAATTTTCGTATACAAATTGTTAGAATAATTTATGATGTGATATTATCCTCTGACCAAAATTGTGAAAATGCTAAGTTTTCAAGTTACAATTAATTAAAAATTTTAAAAATTTTATAAGATATATTGGAAAAATAAAAATAAATAATGATTATTTTGAATTCTTTATGCAGTTTTAAAGATTATAAATTCAATATTTATTAATAATAACTAATATCTAATTATTTAATTGTTTGAAATAATTTAAAAACTGCAAATAAACTTGTTTTTTACTTTTAAAAAAATTATAATTTATGTAAAACCGTTTTAGCAAAATAGCAAAAACAAATGCAAAAGAGCTAAAGATAATAGAAACACAATTTTTAGCAAATGCTTTTATATAGTGAAAACATGTATTCGCACTCTTCACATATATTGCTACCGCTGATCTATAACCTAGTTCCAATAGCTGTGTATTCACTTCTGCCATTTTCCATTTTAATCAACTTCGAGGTTTAATAACTCAATCACTCTTTCCAACGATAGCATCGAGCTTTTTTTGTTACATTCCGTCATTCTAACTTTTTCCTTTATGGTACAAAGTCAATTTTTTTTTAAGTGAACAATTTCGGTAAAAACTGACTCGAATACAGTAAGATCGATGCAAAAATCACAATATTTTCAGATAAAAATATTATATCAAGTTATAATCAGAAAATGTATAATTGCTTACTTTTTTGCCTTTCTTTTCTTTTTTTTTTTTGTAATCTCAAAGCTTTCTCTTTTAAAAACCTTTAACAATTTCAAACATTTCCGATATATATACAATACATAATCTCTTTTTTAAATTAACTACGCATTGATGAAGTTCCGACCTTCACAATAATTTCGCAAGAACAGCCCAAGAAGAGTAAAATTTCTCGATCGAAAACAACTCTTTCAAGGAGAGTCGGTCACGGCACTTTGTCCCAGAACAATCGAAAAAAATGACCCGACCGGTTTTTCAAATGACTCACATATCTTCTGTTCGCGACTTCGAAAATGTCGTTGTCTAGAAGAACTTACTCATCATTCGTTCTTATTCATAAAATAATGGTTTCGTTAAAAAATGAATTATTATATTTCGCATTTTGACAAAATAAAAATATTTCGCACTGAAAGCAAAAATTTGTCCTAACATGATAAAACAGACAATTAAAATAAAATATTCCTTTACATTGAAACATTATATTACAACAAAATATATCATTAAAGCAAGAAAACAATTAAAATTGACAAATATGTTCAATATAATAATATGTGTCCGTTAACTGTTATGTGATTATTAAATTGTTATAAACAAAAATAATTTTTATTCTACTGCAGTTTATAAACGAACTATAAAATTTTTTTCTCGATTTTCACCATTCGTTATCGTATTAAATTTCTTGTTCCTCGTTAAAATACATTTGTGCATGTTGATAAGATATAACTGTTAACCAAGTCATCATTCGCTCCGCTGCTTCTTGCATCTTCAATTAGTTCAGCATGTTATTTTAGTACAAGGTTGATACAAACTTCATTGTAAAGTTAACAAAAACAATGTTAATATTTACATATTCTATTTGGAAAAGAACGTAAGAAAATCATTTGATTTTTTAGAACGCAAAATGTGGATAATATTTTTCTTCTATTATATTATCACGAGAGAGAAAATTTTCAATTACCGAGCTGACGTTAAGAAAAATATTGGGATAACTTCAAATAATATCATGCTACAATTATATACAGGATACTTTAGTTTCATTTAACGATCAAAGAGAGTAATCGCGCATTCCAAATATTTCTTTTCATTTAAACTGCGTGCCACGCAATAACAGGAGCATTTCTCTTCGCAATTTTTGTTTCTCAACGAAATACGTTTTATCATTACAACTGATGTCTGCCGCTATAATATGCATATGTGGGCGCCCTTATGCGATTACGTCCTGCTTATTACGCATGAGACGGCATATATAAACAGCGTTAAGTATATATACGATGTGTTTCTTGTGAGTTCTAATCGGTATATTCTATATCGCGGGAATAAATTACGTAGAACGCTGTCAGAGCTTCCTTACTACAATATTCTACCTAATGATGGCAAGAGCGACAAGATTTATATGGTTGTTATTTGCGGCAGTAAGTTGTTAACCCATAAACCAGAAATTCGCTTCTAAACTTGGTAGTATATCAAACTTTCATGTAATCCTTTTTGTCAAAATTAATAAATTATTTATAAAAATAAAGTTTTAAATGGGTAACGTAACGTAAAATAAATTTGCCTCTTTAAATTTATTATTATACAATTAATTCCAATTTAAACTAAATAAAAAAATTTTAAATATTTGAATTAACGAAAAATATTTTCTTTATATGTTTATTCTCTCTAAAATAATTCTTGAATTTATCTCTATATTCTCTATAATTTTGTCATATTTAAAAAGCTGCCTTTTGAGCTTGCTAAGATCATACTTCGCATTAACGATTTAATGTCGAACATATGCAGACATTATATTAAGACATAAATTAGCTAACTCTTCAGAAATATACCTTTTATAATAGAAGTAAATAAAAATTTCTACAGGCTGCAATAACGCAGGCGAAGCCTTTAAATCCATCAATCGACGAATCTATCAATGAAATCGACAATGATAACACAAATTTGCAAACAAATTCATTTGGATCGAATAAACAACAGAATTCTGCTTTGCCGACTAACGAAGCATCAATACAAGATACCACGCAAACTGATGCTACAAACTCGGCAGTTGGTACCGTGATCGATACGACCGTACAGTCAGTAAGTGTATCTTTATAAATTAATGAGACGTTTCATCATTCCATTCCGCTAATTAATTATAATTTTAATATGCATTGTTAGGCCATCTGTTTATTTCAGTAATTTGGTAACTCACTAATTCTCTTTGCAGAAATTACTCATTGTCATTTTTGTCTATTAAATAATTAATTAAATAATTGATTAAAATCAATTAACGTATTGAATAACTGAGATTATAAATATGATTTTAAATTAGAACATAGAAGTCACAATAATATAATAAGAACATCGTTACGATCTTATTTTTCATAAATTCATTTTAAATGACAAATGTCGTCATGATAACGTCCTATATATGTTATGACTTAGTTATATCTCTGTGGTCCTGAATTATAGTATTAGCATATTTTAGTTGAAATAAATAAGTTATAAATTAAATTGACAACAATCGATCAATTTTGTATAATTTTTCTGAAAAATTCGTCTATCAGATATACAAATATTATATTTTCTGCATAAATTTTTGTATTATTGAGAATATTCATGTTCTTAATTTGATTTTTAATTTTTAAATAAAAAAGATTACCTCTCTCTCTCTATTTTCATAATTTCTCTCTGTATCATGAAATGTCATAAAAATGCATTCGAAAGACACTGACGTGAAATCAATCTTTTTGACAAAGTTTCAGGAAAATTCAACGATAAAACCGGGTCCATTCTCTTGGTTCCTGACACCGCTGGTGCAGAAAATCCAATTCTCACCACAATCGTTCCTGAACGATCGTCTACCGCTACTGAAAGAAGTACTAAACAGTCTAGGAATCAACGTGCTACAAAACGTGACGGCGAAGCAGCTAAGTGGATCCGGCCTAGTGCATTTCTTGAGTCCTAATGATTCTGGTTTCTACACGAACCGACTCGAACCGGCCGGTTTTCTGGGCGGTAACGGTTGGTTCGCCAACAAAGGTGGCATTCTCGGCGGACCGGGGGCCATACTCTCCACCGGCAGTCTTCTCACGGATTATCCAACTGCTTACAGAAGGAAATAGGACGGCCTATCGTTTATTTAGACGTGCAGTGTAAATAATCAAAGAACAAAAACTGTGCAATATATATATAATTCTGAAAATTTGAGATTTGTCAAGTAAGTCACTTATGTCGGAGACTAATGTCGGAGATTCACAATCTTCCCTTTAATCGAAATATTAAAGAACAAAAAGTAATGATAAAAGAACGAAAAGCAATATTTCTAACTTCCACACAAATTTCATAGGAGATCATTAGTGAAATGCTTTGACAAATTAAACTCGAGAAATTCAAATAGATAATATTAAGTAAATTATTATTAACATAAACATGATATCACATTTTTTATACATTCATATTCTTATTTTTTTATGTATACCCATAATGAAATAAAACAGATTTAACAAATTAAGACAAATGTGTTATACCATGAAATTAAAATCACTTTCTTCGTATCCCCAGTAACACATGTTAATTTTATATACGTTTCTTAAACGTTTGTAGAACATTAGATACGTTTAAAAAACGTATATAAAACGTATATGAACCAATAGGTGTTATCTGGGATATTACAGAGTAATGTCGATATTAATACATTTTTTATGCAATTCAACAGCAAGTCGACGATTCGCGCTTCGGATTTTTAATAAGACGCGAGTCTCAAGTTACCGAAGACAGGATAGCAAAAGAAAAAAGGGAAATAAAAATTATTAGCCGTGCGAAAAATGCACGGCAATGCACATTAATGGAGAGTGCGATGCGTTATTGGAAATGCATAAGATATCCGGTATCTCGCGAATTCACAGCAAGTGGCTACGCGGTATTTTACGAAGTTGGACGCCGCATGAAGTGGAGGTAAGCCACGAGGAATTTCATTTCTACCAAATTGAGATTCGATCTCTCGAGTTCGACTGATAGTCGATGATCTTCGACGATCAGTGTACTCGTAGGCGAAGAGTCTCTTCGTCTACGGTCTATTACTCCCTATGCGATTCCGCTACCTGTAATCCGACCACGCTGAAATATCGCCTGTTACACGAGCGATTGCGTGCCGACATCTCCGGAGGCGAAGTTTATTAAAACCGTATGACTGATTTGTGCGGTTGGTATCGCTGAGAAAACGATGCGAGTTACGTATATGTTTGAGATATTTGATAATTGGTAATATGATCGATACAAGATCAATTTTCCTCGCTGCAAAACTAAACCGATTTTCAAGGATAACCCCGTAATATAGCTTTATAACTAGTGTTCTCTTTAATTTAAACACTTTAATTATTTTTACTAATAATATGAATTTATAATAGAAATTATATAATTATATAATAGGAATTTTAAAACTTTATCATTTTTACGCATTGTATGTACCAGATTTTTTATTATGTGCTTCTACTATTGTCTTAAATTTATTAATTTTGTCAAAAATTAAAAAATAAATGAAAACACGGGCAATTAAGATCCCAAATTCGCAGTAATTGGAGCGATTATATTAATATATATTTCTCAGTACTACACACACACACACACACGCACGCACGCACGCACACACACACACACACACACACACACACACACACACACACACACACACACACACACACACATATATATATATATAACAAATACCGAACGTTTCGGCCTAATTCAAGCGAGCTTCGGCTTAGTCATTGCGACTACTTGAATTGTATTAAGGAAGTTGTATTATACGAGACTACTAGATGTTTGAAATTATTCATCAAGAGATTTTATTATACTAGACTGCTGAAGATGGCTTGAATTAAGCCGAAACTTTCGGTATTTATTATATATATATATATATGTGTGTGTGTGTGTGTGTGTAGTACTGAGAAATATATATTCATATAATCGCTCCAATTATTGCGAATTCAGGCTCTTAATTGCCCGTGTTTTCATTTCTTGTTTAATTCTTATCTCAAGAACCCAACTTTAATTACTCTTTGTTAGTTTTGCCAAATTCTTCAGGATAAAATATTCTCGTTACGTGACAAGCATGCATAAAAAACAAAAATAAATTGCGAAAGAAGAATTTCTCAATCAAATTAAAATTCGATGTTTCATCACCGATCAACACAGCCCATGTGTATTCGTGTGTATTCGTAGTTTTCGATTAAGATTAAATCTGTTTACTGTCTAAGTTCAATACGAAGGAGGAATAGCACTTGATAAATTGGCAATAATACGCTGCGTCTGTATGAGCTTGTGTACAAGCTATACACCTGTATAAGCAGCCGTGATCGATGAGAGTGTGGCGACGCAGTTTGCAGCGCGCCGTGTGTCGTTTATAGATTAATTCTACATGTCAACAGTTTGTCGTGTCACGCTTTTATTGACTCGTTAATGACCACAAATTATATAAGCTCAAATATTCAAGAATATTTCAAGCAATACAGCCCGTTGACATTGAATTTATTAAGCTGCTGCAATTAAAAGTTAATTATCATGAAAAGAGCATGTAATATTACACGTGTGTAGTATTATCGTAATACATATCGCGATGTTAATAATATCAGCATTAACCATCTTGTATCGTCGCTGTTCTACGTTGTTTACGTTTACGATGCTCAGGACTTTATTACGTTGTTACATAATTAAATCGAAACTAGGGCAATGTTATATGTAGGTATACGTAGGAAGAGATTTATAATGCATGTAATCGAAGGATTTTCATAAAATCTACAGCTAAAGCTCAATATAATTGTATTGATAAATAAGTTATTCTTGTAGTTTTCACTAAGATTAATAATTTATTTCAAATGACTTTTTATCGCTCGAACAGTCATTTGTATTTTATCATCGATAAATAATTTATTTATACTATATATCAGATATTCTCAATAATTATTAATATAACAGCAATTTTTGAATAATTGAAAACAATATATTAACGTACACGTTTCCAGTTTACAATTTACAACAATTTACTAAAAATGTCAGTAACAAGCGATTTCAAAAAAATTAATAATTCCAATAATTTTCATGCAATAGCAATTTATAAAAATCAGGGAGAGATATTTACTATTTGTTACTGTTTTTATTGGAAATTAAAGTTTTCTAATAGCTGCGAAAATTACGTATATATTACTGGTTAGTCGAAATGTTATTAATAACTGTAACTCTTACAATGGCTGCCATTATTACAATTGCAAAATGAGAACATGGACAGCTATGTTGACCTGCAACGTATATGTGAATGAAACTTTTCCAGACCAAGTTCGAGTAGAACAGTATGAATCGTTAGCGCAACTCGCGGAACTTTTTAATTAGCGACAACAGAGAGAGAATATTGCGGCGGAAAATTCACCCAGCACAATTGGACAGGTGTGCTGTAGTACTCTCTGATCCTCGATAATATATTGAGCTTTTAAGTCTTTTAACCACCCGAAATGGCGATCAATAAATCGTATACCCGAGAAAGAGACATGACATGGATTATACCATGGTAAAATGGTCGACTGTGTCCGAACAATCATATCGAAGTTTCAATGTTCAAGAAAAGATCGACAAGACGATAATTAGAAGCTTTTTTCATATAGCGATAATCACCATGAAGGATTTATGTAAGATATAGTAGGCAAGATCTTTTGCTTCATGAGTGGCAGGATTAGCGGTCGTCTGACTCACGAAACTAACGATGATACGCTCACGATCGCCTAGAATTAGGTGGGTCAATGAACGTCCGCGAATCGATGTTTGTGACGTAAGTACACCGCTATTTTGCCTCGTAACCTTGAACATAAACTTGGAAACTGGTTTGTCCACGGATAAGAAAAATTTTTCGCGCGATGTGTAAGTGGTTGGTCACATGAGAAAAATTCAATCCATATATCTTCGCAAAGTTAGCACCATTATCAGAACTTAGACATAATCTATCAATCATACCTAAAAATGGGATATTTCGAATTTCACAGAGATAGTTTGGATGAGTTAAAAAAATCATAATTAAGAAAGTAAATAAATTATTAAAATATAATTTGTCGTATATTATGTAGACAATTAACGTTTCATCAAAAAAAGAGATAATTATTTATTAATAAATAAATTAAAACACAAGATGTTTTACCAAAAAGTTGATATAAAAAATTTTGGAACTTTTTACAGTAAAAGGTAAAACTTCTTAAATGCTGGCACATTCTCAGGAGTCTCTGAGCTTTGAACAAAGTTTGAGACGTAAGTCTCCTCTCATATCTCTAGGCAAAGAGAATCTTCCTGTAAGTACTTTGGGTGCATAAATTGGATGTAGTTATTAGTTACATAAAAGAGTTGGTCCAAGTAATTGTGTGTGTGTGTGTGTGTGTGTGTGTGTGTGTGTGTGTGTGTG